TATATATATATATATATATATACACGTGTATATATATACATACATACATACATACATACATATATACATACATACATATATACGAGGCTGAAAATGTAACTCAGTGCAAAGGCTCTGGGTTCAATTCCCAGTCCTGGAAGAAAAAGCTGTCATGAGGAGGTTAGCATTACATTTTCTATAAATGGTTAAAAAAAGCCTTGAAGAATGTCTTTTTCCATGGTTCAAAAGAGATCTAAATTTACAGCCAGAAACAATGTCTTTAAAGCCTATAGTTCCTGAATGTTGGCTGCCTATAATTTCTGTCCACCTCTGTAGACCTCACTACTTAGCGTCATTCAAATATCTCAATTTTGTGCCAAATTTCCCAAAAGCGCAACATCAGCTGTTGCTATTAGTTTTGTATAGGACCTACCTGCCTTTCACACTCAAAAAGGCCCCCCTTTGCAGGAGAGGTCCACAGATTTCCACTGGGCTAAGATTACTGTAGAGAACAATACCCTCCTGTAGAACAGTTGTCAGAACCCTGCATGTGGACTTCTCTGGGGAACTTGAGCAGTGGGAAATGAGAAGAGTCCCCGTCAGCAGTCACCATTAAGCCTCTTCAGTACAGCCCATCCTACACTGTGGGGTGTATTTATCTTTATTTTTTCCTCCTTTATATTTTGAGGTGGGAGGTCTCCTTTTGTAGCTCAGGCTGGCTTTGAACTCAAGGTATAGCCCAGACTGGCCTCAAACTTGTGGTGATCCTCTTGCCACCATGCCCAGCTTTTCCTCCTTTTTTTTCACTCTGCCCAAACTTGCTCACAGAGCTCATTTCCTCCCAACCCTTCTTCTTCCTTTTCCCCCCTACTATAAATAAATGTGAGACTTTGCCACCATTTGTGCTTGTTTTGTTCAATTCTTTCTCTGGGACAGAGAGGACCTAGAATTAACCTCTAAAAGGAGATTTTAGCCACCCAGAATCTAGTAACACCAGGGCCCATAATCCTCAAAAGCCATGAAAGTAGGTGGATTGCCATATTGAGACTCCTTCTTTGAGGACAAAGGATATCATTTTAAATTTTCTTGTAGAAGTGGTTAAAAAAAATTACTAATAGCTCCAATCAGGGACCTAAATATTGGTGAGAAAAACAAAAGCCTAACCAGACTCATAAAATGCTCCTGGGTTTATTATGTTCCCTAAATAGTTCCACAGCAAACAGGCTCAGTGGTCAAATAAATCTAGGAATTTTGAAGACTTCCTTATTTACACTGCAAAATCAAAACTTAAAACTACAGAAAAATTATTCAGTAAAAATGTGTTGGAAGTTTTAAAAATTTCTTCCCTTTTCCTCTTTGTAACACCAGTAACATTTCCAGCATTCTGCTTTGGGAAATCTTTCTTTAAAGTCAAATGATGGTCATGAATATAAATACCTATTCAGGATGCTTGGTTGATGAATTTCTTTCTTGTGACCACCTATTGTACAATGATTAGTTTCTGCAAATAGGCCTTCATAATAGAAAGTTCACACATATCCTCTCACTATCCTCCATCCATTATCTGGACACTAAAACAGAAAGTTCGATGTATTATGATGTAAATAGAAAGGTCAGTCATGTCTATCAAGAAGAGGGCTTGTTAAGAGAAGCAGAAACATGTCCTTTTTTCCAATGATCTGAGTCATTTCCTCCAGGTCTGTTACTTCTTAATTTCTGAAAAAATAAAGTGACAAAGTTCTTCCATTTTTTTTGAGGGAAGGACTTAAGGCATCCAGTGATGCCTTCTGGAAGCTGAGAAAATAAATGACTGGTGGGTACAGAATGAAAGGAAGCCCTGTCCCCATCCAAACCTGGATAGTAGCATGGCTGCCAACAGATACTTTCCTGGGTTCCCTGGACCCATTCATCACATTCTACAGTTCCCATCATCCTGGGGCATGTGATGCTCATTTTAATAAGCCAGAGAGTATATCTCATATTTTTTCCTCCTTGCCCTCCTAGTCTACTGCATTCAGAAATGTGTCTTTAAGATGCGTGCATACTTATCTTTCCCTTTCTCGGAGCCCCCTTGAGAGTATAAATCCCAACTGATGAAAAGAATGGGATAAGCATGATAAGCAGATGAGAGGTTTTAATAGATTTCAAAAATAAGGAAATCAGCAAAGAAGAAGTAGTATCTGAAGAAGCAAGACAGAGGAAGAAGCTGTAAAAGGTCCACAGAAGGACAAACAGAACAGAAAGGATGGGGTGGTTACCAAGAAAAAATAATAAAGAAGCTGAGGAAGGCAGGAATCTAAAGAAGAAGCCCACCCAGAAACCAGCAAATTCCAGTATCACCAGAGTCAGGAATGTGAAAGGGGGTCAAAAACAGGGAGATAATTGAAAATCTATATATAGGAAATTCAACCTTTTCACTTTTTTTCCCATGTGGAGAATACCAGGCATTCAAATGTTTACCTGTTAGACAAAAAGAAAATACACAGACATTCATGAAACATATTGCTATGAGTTACATTGTGTTCTCCCTAAATCCATTTGTTGTGTTGGGTGGGGTGGGATATATGCAGGTCTGGAACACTCAACTACCAGGATCATAAACTCAGCGACAGTGATGAGTTAAAGAGACAGAGTTTAAAATCAAGGAAGATGATTTATTTGAGAAAGGACAGAAAAAGTGGGGACTCATTTGATGAGAGCTAACTTTTGAATAAATTGTGGTACTCCACAATTTATTCTCTAGGAAAATCTCACAGTAAGGACTCAATTGTGATGAGGGAGCTATGCTAAAACAACCTTTCCCAACAGCCCAATGGGAGAAAGATCTGAAGAGATGTAAGGTCAAGTCGGAACCCAAAACTTGTTGCATTAGCTCTGAGGGAACCTCTCAGATTTCCCCAGCTAAACTTCCAGTTATATCCTCTCCCTAGATCTTCATCTGTATCCATTACCTGCAACTTTCTCTTCTAAGTCTACTTTTCACCCTTAGACTAACATCCATGCCTGAAATAGTTAACGGGGACAAAAGAGAGTTCATAAAGGAAAGTAAGCAAAAATGTTCCAATCTATTTCAATTTAAAAATCTCACAAAAACAAAAATTAAGGTTCTCTTTGCCTTTGTAACCAATATCAAGCACAGCTTTCTGATGGAAATACAATCATTTACTATAATGATCTTCTATTAACAGCATGTATCTTTCCCAGTACACTTATTTCTCTGTTCTCTTCAAGTCAGAAGTACATTCCACAGTGCAATGATCCAACTGTGAGCTTACTTCTCAGGAAACTGTCATATATCTTTCCTTACCTACCTTTTGTTCCAAAGAGCAGTTCTAGATTAGAAAAGACCCAAAATCAGAGTTGAAATATATGTTATTACATTAGCTATGAAGGAAGACATAGAGGTAACCAGCAATGAGGAACAGGAAATTTCTGGTAAACAACTATAGTGGTTATCTGGAAGCTGAACTGAATCACAGACACAAGAGTTTGCAATTGCATTTCCAATTGCAGATTTAAAGGTAACTGCCTCCTACTTATATGATAGTGTCAATTTAACTCAAAAATTGAGTATAGCTTTATGGGCTTAGCATTTTATGCTGTAATAATGTCAGAGAGCATTTATTTATGAGGCTCACATGGAGTACATTTGATTTCAGAAAAAGAAATGATGAAAAAGAACAACGGGGCACTCCTGATGTGTATGCTATCATGAATACTGATTGATGGCAAAATAAATGAGATCGCCTTTTTATAGAGTTAATATTTATCAATGAAAATCTGCATCTGATATTTTTTAGCTGTGTTGTCATTGGGTTTGAATTGAGTAGGCAAAAAAAATCCACAACTAATTTTAGATTTTAGAGAGGGGAGACACAAGAAGAGCAGTGAGACTCTCTGGGAACTTGAGATCTCTGCAGCAACGCTGGCTGGCCCTTGCTCATGCCCCTTCATCATCAGAGTAGCCCATGTCATCATTTAAAAGACATGAATTGTGTTTCAAGACACTGGCCGTGCGTCTTGAAAAAAGGATGCATAGCTGCTTTTTCTGCTCTTGGGAGGAAAAAGCGGAGAGAAGCCCCAAATCAGGACGTCTCTGCATACACATTTCCTGGCTTTTCCATTTTTCCAAGGCAGAAAGATGGTGGGGACTCTTTGTCCATATAAAAGATATTTTCAGATAACCAGATATTGCCTGAGAAAATTAGCCAGAGAAGATAGAAAAGGTGTGACCACGGGGGTCCTGATCCATCCCCCTTAGCTATCAGTTACTTCCCTAGCAGGACAGGATAGTGGACCTCCTTTCCTCCCTACTTCCCCTTCCTCTTCTTTCCCATTTGCTGTGTTTTTTAACCCCACCCCCACAACCCTCAATTTGGCCTTCTGTAGTAAGAGGTCAGTCAGTATGTTTTCCACACTTGGAAAATTTCATTCAAGAATTTTTGTCAATGGACAAGTCATAAGAAGTCCTTCCATTTTAGGGCTCATTGACGTCACCAAGGAGGCGATAAATATCTGTTGATATAATTGGATGTGAGATTCAGTGTTGAAATAGCAAAACTGTCCCTCGCTCCTTGGCAGGGCCCTATGATTTATGCAGGAGCAGAGGCTGCACGCAATCTAGCTGTCAAGAGAGCGTCAGCTTATTAGGCAAATGCTGCGTGCTTTCTGAAGAGGGTCGACACTATAAAATCCCACAGGCTCTAGTGTGGAGAAACTCGGAGCTCAAGTACGTTAAGAGACTGAAGAGAAAGAGAAGAGACAAAGGCAAAGAGAAAGAGAGTAGAACAGAAACAAAAGGGAAGAAACCTCCTTTAGAGAAAGCCCCGGAGCCGTCCCTCTGCAGAGAGGCGACTGCGCCCCGGCTCACCTGCAAAGCGCCTGGGAAGGTAGGGAGCGCCTAGACGGAAACGCGCCACCAACTTTGAGCTGCCTGAGCTGCTGCGGTGTGCGCGGCGGTGCCAGCTGCCGTGCGTTTGTGTGTGTGTGTGAGTGTATGTGTGTGTGTGTGTGTGTGTGTGCGTGTGTGTATGTGTCTGTGTGTGTATTTTGTTGTGGTTGTTGCTACTGACTGTACCTTGGAGATCCGATACTAGCTGGGACTTGTCAGCAGCAAACTTAGACGGCTGCTCATCATTCCCCGAACTGATAATTAGTCCTTACCCTCTGGGTAAAGGATCCTCCACCCCACCCTGATCCGTCTCGATCCTGACACTTAAGGAATCAAGGGCAGAGATGGAGAGGGAAGGAGGAACCAGTTATTCTTTTAGAAGAATATGCTGAAATTCCTCAAGGGGACCGAGCAAAGGGAAGAGTTCTTAAATTTGTGCCTCTTCTTTAGGCTCAGGAGAATTTGCTTTTGGAAGTAGATTTTGGGGATTGTTAAGCAGAGGACTCAGGGACCGTGCCTTCGGGGTCACAAAAGAAGAGCCCCTTTTGCCTGGCGAAGGGATGGGGATTGATGCCCAGCAGAGCAGGCGTCCCATTTCCTGCGCCCACAAGTCTCAGATCGCAGCTTCAGCACCGCGGACAGCGGCCGCTCGAACCCAGGGGGCGGGAGCCGGTGTCTCTGGGGTGTCGGATTGGAAGACCCCCGCATGCTCCTTCTAGTTGAGCTAAACTGACCAACTCTTTCTTTCTCTCTTCCCTTCTCTCCCCTCGCCCTTCGCCCCTCTCTGCCACAGCCGGCGTTCCTAACATGCGCCTGCCGCTGCTCTTGTCCGCGGGCGTCCTGTTGGTCGCTCTCCTGCCCAGCCCTCCATGCAGGGCTCTTCTAAGCCGGGGGCCCTTCCCGGGCGGCCGACAGGTCCCGCAATCCCCCCAGCCCCTGGATTTCTTCCAGCCGCCGCCTCAGCCCGAGCAGCTCCAGCCGCCACAGTCTCGTCCCATTCTGCTCCGCATGGGGGAAGAATACTTCCTCCGCCTGGGGAACCTCAACAAGATCCCTGCTGCCCGCTTCTCACCCGGCTCTTCGCCTCTTGCCGGGGGCAGCCGCCCCTTGTCCGACCAGGCGGCAGCCAACTTTTTCCGCGCATTGCAGCAGTTACAGCTACCTCGGCGCTCGCTCGACAGCTCCGTTGGTCTCGCGGAGCGAGGAGGCGGCGAGAGCCCTCTCGATGGCCACCAGGAGGCACTGGAGAGGAAGCGACGGTCCGAGGAGCCTCCCATCTCCCTGGATCTCACCTTCCACCTTCTCCGAGAAGTCTTGGAGATGGCCAGGGCCGAGCAGTTAGCGCAGCAAGCCCACAACAACAGGAAACTGATGGAGATTATTGGAAAATGAAATGCGTTTGGCAGAAGTGTTCCGCATTTAGCACAAAAAAATAAAAATTTAAAAATACAGCATTCTGTACCATAGTGCTGCTCTGATATCATTTGTTTATTTTTATATAGCTTGAAACATAGAGAATGTACAGGGAGAGATTCTACACTCCTTAATTAGCATGCAGAGTGTATACACGTGCAGTGACAACACAATGTCATTTGTATTGTTCACTTATAGTTTCCATGTTCAGGTGTCTTTATAGCTGTGTTAAAAAAAAAAAAAAAGTAGACCTAGGAGGAAGCATTTTGAAGAAGCAGACGGAAATCGCCCTATTGTTTTTCAAGTAGTCAGAGCCAAAGAGAACACCATTCGCTTGTGTAGTGGATAAGATGAAATGTGTAAGCTCTTCGAGTCAACTTTTTTCTTGTAACTGTTTCAGTAATAAAACATCTTTCCAATCCTTTGTTAATTTGGTTGTGTAAGAGAATGTTGAATATTTATTTATATTTTTAATAAAAGCTGCAAAGGTTATTTTACTTGGATTTTTTGCCTTCTGGGCTCATAGCTCCTAGTTTCCTCCAAACTGTCTCTCTCACTAAAAACAAAAATCCCATAGTACCCAAAACTGCCTGCATTTTATTTTCTACCATTATCAGTGGCTCAAACAGAAATTGAAAATTCTTTGGGTTCATCTGTGCACCTCAGATTAATTTTCTGAGTCTAAGTTAAATATTTTGGGAAATAGCTTTCAACCCTAAAACTTGGTGATTTTTATAAATGGAAGATCAAATCATAATGGGAACAACATTCAACCCTGATTAATTATGAAATGTGAAATAACTGGGAAGAGAGGAGACGAATGAAAAGAGAAGAATGGAGTCAGGCATTGCTCTAAGCTATGTTATACCCAAGATGTTGCATTGTTTTCCTATGACAAAGGTTTACTTTATCAAGCTGCTACTTTGGTACCATGAGTTTTTTGTAAACTATCTTCTAATGAATACTTTTAATAGAGAAACGTGATAGCATTTCAACTAGCACAAACAACTAAATTTAGTTGATACAAAATAGTGGGAGAGTTGTTCTTATAAAGGACATTTGGACTTTAGTAACTGCACAAGTACTCTCCACATTTACCCCTATGCTGACCCTAATCAATTTGATTTTTAGGAATGTGAACTGTCTTTATTCACTTTTAAAATGAGGTAGCACGTCAAAGTAGTTTTAAAATGTATTTGCCCTTTTTAGCTTAGTCATAGTTTTAAAATGTCAATCAAATGATTAATACACCCAAATTAATTTGTATGTATGAAGATGCTTCTTTTCCTTGAGGCCTTTAGAGTACATTTCACTAATGGATCAGTAAGATAACATGGAGCACTAAATAAGTCATTATAAGACTAAATTTTTAAAAACAGCATTTATTTAAGAGTCCATACAGAGTAAAATTACATAAATGCTCTGAAGGGGGCATTTTAGTGGGTCAAATAAAGCATGATTTAAATATATATAATATGTGATATTATTATATTTATTCTACAGCTTACCAAATTGGTGCCACACTGGATATAGGAGAAAGTAGACAGTTTCTGCTGGAAGGTATTTTTCAGTTAAAGAACTTGATATATGAACATCTAAAACTAAGGTTAGAAAAATGTCACAAGAGATGTCCTAAGCCTTTAGCCTTCTGGACTTTAAAAATGTTGTTAAGTTCAAATAATATTTCTGGATATACATCCAGTGACATCTTATAGAAAAAAGAAAAACTTCGCATACATATATGGATAAAAATATATATAGATAGATAAACCAATCACTTCTGAACTGACATTGAATTTCACTGATCACCTGCACTGTTAGAGGAAAGGAAATAAGTGCTACTATGATAACAAAAAGTTAATGCATATTGGAGTCAAGAGTCTAGTGCACACTTTTTTGGACACTGGCCGCTTTTAACTGACACACACGCATACCACACCCACATGCCCTTCATAGTGTTTCCCACACAACAGATTTTCACAAAATTCAGTTTCTTTTATCCCAATGCTTTCTGCAATTATTTTCTGAAAGAATTATTTCCTTCAGTGTTAGGTAAGTCACCTGGAATTAAAGTCTCTTTTTTCTTTCAGGAATTCTGTCGAGAGGTCCTATTCATCATCTGCATTGTGTTCATCTCACCTAGGTTCCTTGCTGCCTGTGTGTATCACAGCCAGGCAGGCAGAGAGGCAGCAGTTGGAATGAACATCATTCATTCAGGGAGTTCAACCAGGAGAAGGAGAAGACATGGCGAGCTGGCTCAGAATCAACTCCACTCCCACTCCCTGAAGCTACTGCCTGTCCCTGGAGGGGAGGGGCCTCAGATCCAATCTGCAATAGAAAAAATTGTGAATCAGAGGAAGAAGAGGCTGGTAACTTGGGGTCTGACCCAGTCACTTTTCTACTGAGGAGAAAGGACAGTAATAATAATTATATGAAACATAATTATTATTAAGGACAAAAAGCAAGCTCAGGTTATCTTGGCTATCATCAAGAGCCATGGAAGAAATTCACACTTACGATCCAAAGCAGGACAATACTAACGCATGCAGTGGAAGTTCTTTGGAAAGAGAGTCCAGGCTACTCTTCTTCTTCCTTTTCTTTTTAAAATCTACTTGTACATGTAGAGAAGAAAGTCTTATTGAAATTTATAGAAATCTGGGTTTAGAATAAATTTCAGGATTAAAAAAATTCTCTAGGATTGTAACTGCATAGTACAGCATTTGCTCAGTGTATGAAAGGCCTTGGTGAAGGGAGGGCAGGGGAATGCGGAGAAAATAAGAACCAAGATAGATTATATAAAGGTGCAAATTTCCAACAATGAATGTCATTATACTGTATACCTTAAATGTACCAATAAGAATTATTATTTTTTTTTCTTTTTTGGTTCTGGGGATCAAACTTGGGACCTTGCACTTGCGAGGCAGGCAGTAGAACCACTGAGCTAAATCCCCAGGCTAAAATTAATTAATTAAAAAGAGAAAGGCCTTGGGTTTCATCCCCAGTACAGGAAAAAAAAAAATTCCTCATTTGAAGACACTGACATTATAGGACAAAATATAAACTTTTCTCTGCTCAAGTGCAACATTTCCACTACATATAATTCCCATGTTATTTAACAAAAGATTATGTTCTGAGAAATATGTCTTTGGGAAATTTCATGCATGAACATCACAGAATATACTTACACAAATTAAGAAGGTTAAATGTCATAGGTGATATAATCATATGGGACCACCATCGTATATGTGGATTTTTGTTGACCAAAATTTTGCTATGCAGCACATTATACATATCTTTGTTAGCTTTTACAAAACTTCAGGCATATTTGTGAGCAAATCTTGAAAAATTTTCCCTAGGCAACAAAATCTAATAACATTATATAAAATCAAATCTAATGTCAATATATCTACACAGAGAACTACCTTTCTTAAATGTTTGACAAACACAGGTTGCAATTTTGATTTCATTAATCAACCTAATCTCATAAGTGAACTTTATGTTGCTTTGAGTTTTAAAAATGATAACTTAGTGGAATGTGACAAGCATAAAAAAGTCTTGTTGAAGTGCAATTTGATTTTATTAACTCAAACTCTTTTCATTTCAAAGTGCCATAGCAATTGCAGCTCTTCCCAGGAGAACTATGGAAAATAGGAAAGCATATTCTGATGCTTTACTAGTAAAAGTCCCAGAATATTGGAATGCCACTGGTTTCAAAATAATGAATTAGCACATGCCTTCAGCTCAGAAGCCTGGGGTGATTTTATGAAACTCATATATGAAGGGAAATTACCTGGCAAGGCAAAGCCTAACTTTCTGGGTAAGTATATTGTTTTACTGCTACACAAAGTAGTTTTGAGAGAATAGTGAGTTTGCAGTCTATATCTTACCAGATATGAATCTAAATGTATATGTTTTGGGGGTGATGTTTCAAAAGTCAATAAAATTATCCCAAGTCTTTATGGCTTTGGAATTATCCTTTGAACTATCAGACTGCTTCATGATATGAAGTTAAGGAGGGCCAGATAATCATGATTAGCCACAGGTGAACAAAACTGAAGCATGCATATTTATATGAAGAAAGAGCTGAGATGCCAAGTGAGATTGGACTTTTTGAAAAAAGGAAGATCACTAGATTTTATTGTTCATGAGTTAGATACCTCAACATCCTTGAAACTGAGGTGGGATAACATCATCCTACAGAATCCTCTGCATGTTTATACACGTCAAACTCTTTCGTCCATCATACTCACTTTACCATCACTAATCCTAAAAACCAAACCAAACCAAGCCAAATTAAACAGCCCAACAGATCTGGGCCTATCACCGATATGTAAAAGAGGTTTTTCTAACTATTATGAATGAGGGAATGGTGAATTTTCAGGACAAAGATATCATCAGGATCCATTTTGTAGCTTCTTCTCACTGAGGGCAAATGAAAGCTTTCCTTCTACTCAAAAGGATACTTCTATAATCACTATGGAATATCTAAAAGTTGAAATTAGTAAGACAAGTTTTTTTTTTAATTTGCAGAAGAATATAAACCTCTGGAATGTAGCTGGTGGCTAATAAGCCATTTGGGACTGCATTTGGAAATTGTTTGTGTATGGTTGTGCTTTTTTCTGTACTAGAGATTAAATCCATCTTCTGTTTAAAATGTTTTTTCTGTTGATACCCTGTGGCTTTTAATACTTGGGGTTAAACAGTTTTTTGTTTTTTTTTACTGCTCCTACATCCCTATGTTTCCAGGCAATTATTAGATGTTCCCTCCAAACAACATGTATTTGCTATTGTTTTTCAGAGAAGAAAGGCCAGTGTCAGACAGGGGACAAAGAGCAGAGATTATCTGGAGTCTCTTCATGAGATTACACCACCTGTTTGTTCTTATTTATATAAACTGAAGGTCCATTAATGATGTCAGCAAGAAAATTTTGTGCAAAGAGGCTCAACCTGTACTTAATCTAGGCCAACTACTTCTTAGCTGTATGACTTGGACAAGTTACTTAATTTCTCTGAGCTTTAGTTTTCTTTTCTGCAAAAACAGAAATGATACCCTACCTCATAAAGTTGTTGTAAGAACTGAAGGAATCAATACATATGAAGCACTCTGCACACACCTCACTTATTAAGTCCTTCTGTACTTGCTCTTACTTTTCCCCTTTCTCTCACCCTCCCTCTCTTGGTTCTTACTACACCCTCCTTTTTCTTCTGTGTGTGGTGAAGAGGCTCTTCTTCCATGTAGAATCACTTTGGGACTATTATGATGAAATATATACAACCAGCAATAATCCCTAGTAAAGTAAGACAGTCATATTTGCAACCTCATCTTTCCAAAATTAGACACAATGTGTGTGATGTAATCCCTTTGGTGTGCTGAAATCATTATCATTCATGATATTATTCAGTGTATGTCTAATTTTCACTTTTTTTTTTGTACCAGGGATTGAACTTGAGCCCTTATGCTTGAGAGGCAGGTGGCGTAACCACTCAGTCAAATCCCTGGCTTATCTCTAATTTTCTATATGAGTATCTCATAAAGGAAGAATGAGTTAAACATTTAGAAACCTCTTTTCATAGCCACAACCCAGCACATCAAAAGCAGACATCCTTCCTATTACCTTCTCTAAATGGAATTGTTTATGTGCATTCCCTGGTTTTGTAAGGCTGGCTGTCCTCTGTTACAGAAGATGGTATTTCTTGGGAAGACTGATGTCCTACAAAGCAGAGCAAGACACTGATATCCTCTACTTGCTCTGAAACATGCTTGACCTCTAGTTCAGTCAAAACAGGTGAAAAGGTGAACAAAACATTGCTAGTCTTGTATTATTTCTAAATTTTACACATTTTTACTCAGGTGACAAAACAAGAAAACATCCAACCACAATTTAACAGTGTACTCTATGACTATAGGACTATAGAGAATTTGGCAAATATGACATTTAGTCATAAAATTAAAGAGGAGGTGAAACCAGGAAGGAGGCAGCATTTTTCCCCTCTGTCATAACTCTCAGACCAAATTCAACCAAGATCCTCAAAGGGCCAGGGGTTGGAATGACATACTTTTTCTCAGCGTAAAGCTTATTTTTTCTTAGGAAAATTTGACTAAGAATTTTGAGTATTCAAAAACTAGACTCAGGAACACAAAATTTTTATTTTCCTTTGATTTTTCTTTTACTGTCACTATCAAATGTACTTTGAGAGAAAAAAAATGAACTTCAGCTTGTGGTACTAGATTACTGTTTCACTCTGTATATCAGGGCAAGGTGAGGTGCTTCTACCCAGAGCCACACGATATGCACGCATCTTTGACAACTTGTGTCATCTGGACTTGTTCTCTACTGATGAGGATTAAGGAGGATGTATCCTGCCAGAGGCCAGTGGACACTGGACTTCATGTACAGGACAATTTCATGTGACAGATAGTGTTTGCTTAGCCTGGACTGTGTGACTACATAAAATTTTTTTTTCAAAAACAAAAACAAATTAGTTGCAAACTTTAAAAAATCAGTAACAGTTTCAGTTTTGCAAGATGAAAAAGTTCTAGATACTGATTGTACAATATAAATGCAGTTAATATGAATTATCTGTATATTAAGAAATGGTTAGGATGGTAGATACTATGTTGTATGAATTTTTACAACAACAATTTATTTTTTAAATACTGGGGATTAAACTCAGAAGTGCTGAGCTATGGCTCCAGTCCCTTTTATATTTTAACTTTCGATAGAGTTTCACTAGGGTTGCTCAGACTGACCTCAAACTTGTGATCCTCCTGCCTCAGCTTCCTGTATAGCTGGGATTATAGGCATGTACCATCACACCCAGCACCACATTAAAATTTTTAAAAAATCAGACAACTTCACATTAGAAACTGGATTTACAGTTTTTCTGAACAGAGCAGAAATTTGTTGATTTGCATTGAGAGCTGAGCAGCACTGTTCCTTGGACTGGGTATGCTCCTTCTCTGCCTCTAGAGTAGCACTACTCTTTTGCCTCTCATGCTACAAGGCTAGTTTCAGCTGCCATTTATCACTGTATTTGTATAGTAGCTATGATCAGAATAGAATTATGAGGAAGCAAACTATGTCTTGAATTTATGTTTCTACCCACAGTTTTGTTATGTGGCCTGCTTTTCATGAATGTTACATTGGGCATGTGCATGGGTGTGTGTGCCCATGCGCACTGGGGATTGAATTTATATCCTTTAACGTGCTAAGCATTTGCTCTACCCCTGAGCTACACTCTGAGTCCCAATTTGTAGCTTTTATCGAAGGTTATTTTCCATTAGGGAGGTGTCAAAGAAAAGAAAGCAAATATTTTCAATGGAGTAT